AGTCACCCCGGACTCGAGACTTCAACAGTATTTCTTCAGCACGCGGCCGTCGAATGACGTGCGCGCCACCGCTTTCTCGTAGTCCTGCAAAACAAGGAGAAACGGTACCCCTAAGGGGCACCGAACCTCATAGGTTCCAAAACCTCCACAATATGGGTACCACCGCAAGGGCAAAGGGGCCACGTTGTGAGACCACCCTTGCTCACACAGAGGCCTTAGTAAGCCAAAATAAGCGTACGGATCAAAAACGAGCCGTGTACCCAACTAAAACAAATTTTTTCTTAAACTCCAGGAACTCGGAAAACCGCATGAAAATATCAAAAATCAAAAATAGTACACAGCCGGGAAAAACGAAATGAGAAAAGGAAAACCCAACAGAATCCCTTTAACATTCCCTCCTTGAATCCTGTCACATGAGAAAAGGAAAAGATAAGGTATATATATATATATATATACACATATATGTGAGAAGGAATGGGACGTATTTAGAGTGAAAGGAAGCATGGAGTCGTTTGAAAAAATTGTTTGCAAGGCTTGCCATGCCTACGATTGCGACTCGACGGAATACAAAATTCAAATTACCGGTTCGCAGAGTTTTTTAACGTACTAGGGTCTATTTTTATTTAAAAAAAAATTTTTCAGACTATTTTTTCACATCTCTTTTTCCAGATGAGTCGACAATGCGCCTTACGGAATTATAGGTCCAGAAGAAGCATACAATGGTGAAAATATTACTCTTATCTGTGCTGCTGTTAAACATGACCATCTATCTGTAATTTGGTTAGATGACCAGTTCCAAGAGATAACTAATTCTGGTAAGTTTCAAATTACTTTCTTTTCAAAAAATTGAAATTCTGCAAAATGTTCTGCTTGACCATAATATTAATACTATTTTATTTGGATTTCAGCAAAAGAGCATGTTACTTCAAAGAAGACTAAATTTACTATTTGTAGAGAACTTGTGATCTATAACATAAGTCAATCAGATCAGAAAGACTATCACTGCAGTGTTATGTCTGATACAAAGTCAACCAAAATTATAAGTTACAATGTCAATTTTAACTGTAATAAAATGTTAAATATTACCTAAAGGCGTAACTTTACACATTATATTTAAAAAAATTATATCAGTGAAAATAATTTCAATTTAAATAATAATAAGAACAATTATTATCATTATTTTGATTTTTATTTTATATTAGCAAATGACATTTCTTAACAATTATATTATAATGACTCCCAGTTACATAATGTTTATCTTTGTAGTGTGAAAGAAGCCTTATTTTATAAGAAATAATATGAATTCTACCAGTGCAATCATATTAACAACAGATGCTCGAAATATTATTTATTTATTTTGTTTTGTCAGAAAATCGCCAAGACCAAACATTACATGGCACAAGGATGATGCACTTTTGAATCTTTCGAAAGATCGATCGAGCCTTGTATTTAATGATCAAAAACTAATTATAAGATATCCGGTGGAAGATGATAGCGGTAATTATTCCTGTCGTGCTAAAAACCGATTCCGAAAAATAGAAAAATATCGAAAAGTCAATGTAACACGTAAACAAATCAAAATATGTGTTTATTTGTAAATTCTTTGTATTAAATAAAACAATCCTTCTATAATAAATTATTTCTTCACGATGTATTGTATACAAGTTAATATCCAATTTTTTCTCAAAATTGAATCTAACATAAACCATTTTGCATAAAAAATTTAAGGCGTAAAGACGCTGATGCTGTGTAAATCTTTGTGTAAGAAAATTGGAAAATTGGAATTAAATTACTTTACAAATGTGTATAAAAGAGCAAGGTTTGTTTATTTATTAGTTCTTACTACAACTGAAACCTTTATTCTTAAGTTAATCGGTATAACAATAGAATAAAATTAATAAAATATTTCACAACGTATGTCATTAAAAGTATCAATAACATACAAATTTTTTAACTCTAGTGTACATCTTTACTTTATATTTTATGCAATGTTTTGTGTTTAGTATGACTTAATTACGTTATCATTGTTACGTCACTGTAGTTTGAGCATCATTTTAAATTATTTGAAATATCTGAAACAATTTGTTTTTTCTTACATGTGTTTTCAATATCATTAAGTATATTTTCCAGGCTAACTTAATACTGCGAGAAAACTCTTGCACGTTTTTATTGATAACTACGCAATCATCAACTTGTTTTCTCATTTTGATGATAAGATCACTTCGTACCAATCTGAGTTAAACGCATTGAATTCGATACTTTTATTTTAATATCATCATATTTTATCAACATGTTATAAAATCTCACCAAGTTTACATAAGTTTTAATAAATAGTGTTATCACATTCGTGTATACTATCAAATTGTGGTCATATTTCTAGGTATATCGTTGATCTAGTTTGTTGGTAAAGGTTTGAGAATATTTCAAATACATTGCGACGTATAAAAAGATTCACAAAAGAAACAGTTTTATGATAAATTATTTTGATGCATAGAGTTTGAACGAAAAATTTTTGTTAATGTTGTCTGTTATTATTCTTAAAAATATCATCTACTTGTATTTTTAAATCCTGAGCAATAAAGATATTTTGTCTAAGACGATTAAGTAAAAGTTTAATAAATGCTAAATTATTTGTACGAAAAGCACTATTGGCTACAGGAGCACGTCTAAAAATATTACGGAGGCCCTCTATGGACTCGCAGACAATTAAATTTCTAATTCTTAATTATCATGCATGATTATACAATTGACCATAAAAATAACTTTCACTGATGTATTTTTTTTTTCTTATATTCTCACTGAAAGTTTTCATTAACCCCTTCATTCTGGGGAAAAAAACATTTTTATATCACACTAAGCGTAAAGTTCGTACTGTTCTTCCTGTATACAGGGACAGAAACTGTGTAATTAATGCGTGTACGCATGCGTATCTATATCTTACTGTATATTACTATATACATAAGCCAATAAGTGCCTGAAGTAGTTCGGTGCTCGAACATAGCGAGGGCGCCACACTGCAGTAAACAAACAAATTTGGGAAACATCAACAAGATAAAAGAAGCCAATGTACTGTTTGCTGGTGTATTTTATACAAAAAAAAACATGAGATTCTGAACAAATGGAAATAATTAAAATTGTTATACAATTTTCTTTGTTCACACATTTTTAAATAATAACTGCATTTTTACAGTTCTTCATTTTTATCAATCTTGTATAATAAACTATTGAAATTATTACATTTCGAAACACATTCATTAAAAGAGTTAAATAATTAGGTCCTTGTTCTTATGCTTCCATTGTAAGAATCGAGCGTATGCATATTCATATAATGCTCTCGATTTTATGGGAAGTAAATTTTGAACAATGGCATTTCGTTCACAGTCAAAGTCTCTTCCTTCCCCTACTTTATCCTCGTTAAAGTTTTCTTCGTCAGAAGAATCCTCTTCAAACATGACTGTCGAAACTGTTGCCATATTTTATACAAAAATACAGGAATATCCTAAATATCACAATCGGAAACAATTATAAAAACTCTTGTGATATAACCTATAACCACACAATGAATGGCTTGTTTTCCTTCTATCTCTCTCCCTCTCAATGTAACGAACTTTCCACTGAGTGTGATATAAAAGTGTATACGCACCGCGAGACTAAAGCAAGCCAGCGAGTGGCTATTGCTTGTAGCACACTACAACAGCCACGAACTGGCTTGCTTTAGTCCCTTGGTACGTAATATACTATTTCTGGATTTACTAATTACGTAACTAAGATGGGCAAAAGTACTATGGCTGCGGTTCTAAGTCTGCAAAAAAGGCCTTCAGAGCTAATTACACTGTGAAAGAATGTGCCTTAAATACTCATTACATTAACACAATACAATTACACCTTCAAGCTGAAAAATGTGTATCGTGCGCATGAAAAAGTGATATATCCAAAGAATTGGGACGCAGACAATCATTGCAATAATGAAAAAACATTACTATTATCAACTTTTCTTTATATTTTAATCAAATATTACGAAAAAAATTATATCTGGATGTGTTTTATAGAATAAGCATCACTAATCATTCATTCACAACATAAACAAGGTCTCGAGAACATTTGGATTAATAAAACTTTGAAACTGACTCCCATTTGTTAACAAGGAAACTGAGCACATCAAGAAAATTTGATTAAAGGTGTATTAATTCTCAATAAATACTTAGCAAATTGTTGGATATCAAATCAAATTAAAGACAGCACTAAAAAAACCTATAAAATAATTCTAAAGTTAGTTTATATCTAATTTACATCGAAGTTATACATTACAGAAACACTCAGATTATTGAGGTATTAAATTTAAAAAGTAAAAATTACTTATTAACCCTATGTGAATAGCTTATACATTTTTTAGAATTGTTTCTTTAATTTTTATTAATAATTTAATAAACAAAGTCAAAAATTGATATCGTTGTTAAAAAAGTTTCCCCTATATTTTCGTCTATTTTTCAACATTTGAGTCTTTCGTTTTTAATTCTTTATGGCTGAATTTTGAAGTTGCATTAAATATTTTTTGATAAAAAGGTTATTATTATTTAACTTTTGTGCATCGCATTCTTTTTTTTAAATCTATATTTCCAGTTAGTAAAGGCTTGTCATACACAGTGAAAACTTATATCTTATATCATACAACGAATATAAAAGAGAGTATAAATTGTTTGATTATAGCTCAATTGTTTAACAGTTAATTCGTTTATAATGAATGTTCTAAAAGCTTCAGAATAGTAGCGTGACATTTCTACACGATTGTGTTCTCTTGGTTTAACTCTAAAGCTGCTTATTTTTTTAAAGTTCAGAAATAGTTTTCTTATAAATTATAGAAACTTTTACCACGGATAATATTCATATACGATAAATTATGATTTTAGGGGTTAGAGAACGTTATCTTCAACATACAATGGTAGTTTGTTTCATCACAATTCTTATTTTACTTTCTGTATACTTTTGTTTAAAAGTACAACATGAAAAGGTAATATAATATTTGGAACTAAAAGTTCTGAATAATTCATGAAATCTCTAAAGATATCATTAATAATTTATTAGTCGTAAAAAGATAATGAGGAAGCAGCTATCAAAAGCTGGTTTGGCTTATTTTAAAGAAGGAGCCGTTGATTTGATAAATCCTAAACAAACAGTTAACGAGCAAGCCAAGTATCTTCCATATGATAAAAAGTTAGAATTTTTTAGAGAAAAATTAAAGTTAGGTATAAAACATGAGTTTACCGTAAAGCAATAGCTATGATAACCAGTTTAACCAGTTTAACCATGGACAAATTGTGATATTTGAAATTACAGGTGAACAGCTGGGAAGTGGAGCTTTTGGTGTTGTAGTGAAAGCAGAAACTTTTGGCATATGTACCACAGAGCCTGTTACGATTGTGGCTGTAAAAGTGGTTCACGAAAATGCTGAACGAGTTTATTACCATGCTTTTGTAAGAGAACTTAAAATTATGATGAATCTGGGGCAACATTTGAACGTAGTAAATCTTCTCGGTGCCTGTACAAAAAATATTGCAAAACGTTGAAATTCTTATGGCATTATTTAAAATAATAGTTGACACTTTTAAATAAAAAGCAATTAATTTGTTAGGTGAATTTTTAGTGATTCTTGAATCGTGTGCTTATGGAAACCTGGAAGACTATTCAAGATATCATAGAGGAAATTTCATAGACCAAATTAATCCATCTACAGGTCACATTGATTCATCTATTAATTAAAAAATTCACAAGGTACTTATTTTATGTTTTTTTTTCCTTCAATTGAAATTTGAATTTATAATAAAATAACAGGCTGCATGATGGCACAATTTTTGTGTCGTCAAACATGCGAAATTTTTTTCATCATGATGCAATAAAATGCATGATCAATGGAACTTATGCGTAAAAAGTAAAAATAGTATTATATTCTGTTTTGAGAAGTACAGTTTTAAATATTTATAATATTTCTTAAGTGTTTTAAGTCATGTTCTCTTGAAGTCATGATCTTGACACATGAAAATGAGGAGGAATATGAGCATAATGATCTTTCAGATTTTCTAAAAATTAAGCATCGTTAAAACGTATTATGACTTTGCTCTATCAAAATGACATTTTGAGTTGGTTTGATGAAACTCTTTAATTTTCTTGAGTGGCTAAATACAAGCACTGCGATGACATTATCAAAGTCTTTTAATGTTTCAATTAGAATTTTCAATAAATAAATAATAGTTGATGAAATTATACTTTTTGTACTATATGAGAAAAATATGGCACTGACAAATATATTTTGTTTATTACTTTGTACTTTGATATACTCAAAAGTGATTTTTTACCTACTGATTTTTAATTTTGTAATTATTGTACATTCTAGCTATTTGTTAATGTAAATTATTAGAAAATCAAATACTCAAATGATGACTAAATAAATCATATACATATATATTTACTTTTCTCAATAACTAGAGCAAAAAACGTAAAATCAGAATCATACAGTCATCTAAAAACGGCATTTAGCAACAATGATTCAAACTTTCCCTTTACCAAGGCTCAGAACTCAAACGATTCTATTCAGTTCCGTAGTGCTTCTTACTCTGATGATTTACAAACAAGTTGGCATTCTAACTACGAAGGCAATTATCAAAACTGGAATGCTGAATGCATCTGCTCCCATGACCTCCTCTCTTGGGCTTATCAGGTAGCTCATGGCATAAAATATCTATCGAGGAGAAACGTAAGAATATGAATACAAAACTACTACTCGTACATACTTTGTCTACTACTTTACTGGTGTTTTTAAGTGTACAGGATTTACATTGTGATTTGGCTGCAAGAAATATTTTGCTATCTACTAATAACATTGTCAAGATTTGTGACTTTGGTTTGGCCCAGACGTTGTACAAAGATATAAATTATACGAGGCTACACGATGTAAAATTGCCGTATAAGTGGATGACCATCGAATACCTCAGGGACGGAGTATTTTCTACTAAATCCGACATTTGGTCATTTGGTATTTTGATCTGGGAGTTCTTTACTTTCGCAGAGACACCATACCCAGGTATGCAAGCCTCAGTAGTATATGAAAAACTCATTGACGGATACAGGATGGGCCAACCTAGATATGCAACAAGATATCTGTTAGTGAAAAAAAAGCTCTTTCATGTAAATAGTTTATCTTTTAAATTAATAATATGTTTTATTTATATATTTCTCAGTTACAATATCATGCTCAACTGCTGGGAGGACGAGCCAACTTTAAGACGATCATTCACAAAACTATCCAAAAATATTGGTATGCTTTTAGATAAAAGTACGAGAATGCACTTCGAGAAACTGTACCAAGAGTATGAGAACATTATTTAGGAAGCGTACTTAAAAAGAGAAAATGATTATTTAACAAATATGTCTTTACCAGATAAGACAGCAGTTGCCCTGCCTCAACAGAACTATGAAACTTATTTGCTGCAGCTTGAAAACCCTATATACTTGTGTTTGAACAATAATGACAGGCTTTTAGCCGACACTCCAGGGAAGTTTGATAACTGTTTATGACAAAATCTTACATGTATGTTTCTAACAGTTACTTTTAAAAACTGTATAAAAATTCTGTAATAATCCAAAATGATATCGTTAATAAGGTGAAATGCCACTTACAAAAGAAATGGTACCTGATCTGCAGTTAATTTTAACATTTTATTTCTTAGACTACATTAAAATAAGACAAAATGTCACCAGCAGGTTATAAAATGAAAGTTTGTAGAGTTATTAAAAAACTGTTACTTTATTATTCCAATTTTGTTTCACTATTCCTAGACTTATGAATAAATTTATGACATACTAAAGTTTAAAATAAAAATTTGTGCAATATAGTTTTATTTAAAAGTATCGAATTTTTTAGACCTATATTTTTAGTTAAAATTTTGTTAAAATCAGAATATTGATTTTTTAAGAATTTGTCGTACACGGCACGATGTTTTGTAAATTTTCATGGTATAGTTTCACATTCTGAATTATAAAATTTTTTAGTTTTGAATCATGCATCAGTTAATTGTAACATTAAAGGTTAAAGCATAAATAAAAATCAGAAAAGTGCAGCGAGTAGTATGTTATATTTTATCATTTTTGTCAGATATGCCACACATTACTTGTACATTTCTAATAATGTAATCTCTCTGATCGCAGTAAATAATATGTTAATATTTAAAATTATTCGTGCTCGCTATGTTAATTTGCTTTGGGTCGTCAGGTAACTTGTAACGTGCGACTTAACTTTGAAACTGTGGATACTTTGAAAAATTCTTGAATTTCTTTATACGAATAATAAACGGTGTTTTTATACGAAGTTTAGTTAAAATATAAAAGATAAACCATATACATACATAATTTTAAATGATTTAATTTTACAAGTACATTATTTAGTTCTAATTTTGCCTCTGATCAATCAAGTATGTTAAATAAATATTTTAATAAATTTATTTGCATATTTTACGACCATTACCTCAGGTGAGATAAAAAGTATCCTAGGTCCAAAAATATTTTTAAATTAATTTTACAGTATCTATATTCAAAGCATTATCGTTGATGATATCATTTGTATGGTACATCAAAAACCACATATTTCAAAGTGTTTCGTGTTAATATGAAAAAATAACAGGACTGTTTTAATCTTCAGGTGCATTTTTAATCTTAACCGCATAGCAGTGGTAGCTGCGAACAAAGCACAATGATATAACCCTTCGATGTGGTAATGGCTGGCTGATATTTTTACTCTAGTCCACCAGACTTGGCTTGTTATATTTATATTAAATCCTTAACGAGTAGGTACTCTTTTGTAGTTAGTGTATTATCACGCATGTTAACCATTTTGTCTTTTTATAGTTTAGCTACTATTTTTCTTGTAATCCAAAGTTGTGGTTTCCAACAATGTGATGAGTAAGTCATACTTGTATGCGTGTAAAACGAAAGTTACTGGAAGTGAAATGAGGATTTTTAGGATGGCAAAACTTGGTGTCAATTCTGCACTGAACATCACTGTTCCTCAGTGTCATCTTACTTTGAGATAAATACATTAAAAGTTAAGTGCATTAATCTGTACGGTAATATAGTTAGCAGTAAAACTGGTAAAGAATGTCATTTTAAAAAAGTCGAGAAGTAGGTAGCTCCTTAATTAAAATGTATAACCATCGCTGTGATAAATCTCAAAAATCTTGATACTTACGAATAACGTTGCTTCAATATTAGAATAAATATGGGTTATTTATGACGTGCTTATGTTTTTTTAATTTGTATTTGAAATGAAAAAGCATTTTTTTTTTTTTAGTAAAATGTAGTTATAACTTAAAGACTTGTTATTAAATACTTTTCACTAAGTTTTTTATAAAAAAAAATAGTACGTCCATAAAACGTTTTTTGTTTCCCTCATTTGAGTAGCTATATTTATTGCATATCAATTTTTTTAAGAGCAACAAATAGTAATTTCTTACTCTGACCATACTTATACTTCTGGACTTCAGTAAGATAAACAGGGCAAGCACTACGGGTCCTACGAGCCTAATTCTGCTAATTTATTAGGTGCAGCGCTTCCCCTGGTGACATATGCCTTTATAGTTAGAGAATCTATTATACATGGTTTGGATATTTATGAAAAGCTAGTTCTGTTTATGTTGCGCATAGATGGATAACTGTGGAATTATTGGGGTAACCTGGTATTTAAGTATGTAATTTAATGTTACCAGATTTTACAAAACACGTTTATGTCACGCTGGTTATAATACTACGAAATTAATCCAATTGACAAGCCAGACACTCCACGCATCTTAAGTATAACTAATGAATTTCGTAAGTACGATTATGCTCAATACGTTCTTGTTACGAAATATCGTTAAAGATATCATAAGTTGTATTTAACGTTATCAATACTTACGTGTTGGTAATAAATTGATAACGAAAATGTCTCAGGATCGATATCATTTTCTCATATAAAACTAAATTCTCATGGCTGCATAGGTTACATGACTTAAATATATGTTAATTATAGACTAAGTTGTATCTATGGATGTGAATTTCGGACACTTAAGGTCCGTACGATTTTTTTTCTACTTTATTTTTCATTTTCTGATAAGAAAAAGTAGACTTTGTTCTTCGTGCTAAAATATTTAGAGAAGTATTGTAAACAAAAATATTAAATTTAAATAATAAAAAAAATAAAAGAAGAGAATATTGGTGTCAAAAGTTTTGTATAAACGTACTCGTAGCGGTCCAAACAGCAAGACATCAGTCACATAATTTTTAAAATTATCCTAGACAATGATATATGATCTAGAATATATATTTAGTCATGTATCGGTAGTGGTCCATACACCAATACATCAGACATGTCAATTTAAAGCCTTAATAAAGAGTAATGCACCATCTAAAAAATATATTTAGTCAGCTCATTAAAGTTTAAAACGACAGGTTCGAAAAAATTAACCGACATTTAATTTTTTTAATACTGATAGTTTTCCCTTGCAGCGTAGAATTAATTCCGATAAGATAAAATGTTTTCTCGCTGGGTCAAATTTCAAATTGGTTTCAAAATATCAAGAACAGTAATATCAGTAATGTATTTCTTAATTGGTGATACAAAGAAAATATTACCAACATCGATTTACTAACTGCTTAATGAAACAAAGCAGATACCATTGTACTTGGAGCTGATAAAGGCAAACTTTACGTTTTTCTGTACTTAAAGTATATGCGTTTTTAAAAATTAATAATTTATAAGTACTAGTAAAGTCTAGTCATATTTACAGCCATAAAAATGCTTTTAGTAATAAGCAAGATTATAATAAATTCTTTTATAGTCAAAAGAACTCAACTCGTTGGTCAATTATTTATTAGCTTCTTGAAGGCTGAGGCGTGTGTGTGTATCGCGCGGTGTTTTCTACTTATTGTATGGTCTCTTGCCTAAAAGACGCTCAAGTCCCCGATTTGTGTCTCGCAGGGCCTTATATAAGCTCGTTTCCCCTATTGGTGTCCTTTACTAGCATAGGCTTGTAGTTACTAGGGTGAGTCAGTATGATATGCCCAGCATATCGTACGTAACATACCATTATAGTTTCTTTATTTTTGACAGTCCCAGAAATTAAAACTTATTTTAATCAAGTTCATCATATTAATAATAACATTAAAACCAATTTTGTTAAATAAACTAGATTGATGTAAATTAGGGCTTAAAATTTTAAGGTGAATGATTTTGCTAATATAGCTGCGCAAAATCTGCCTTTATCAAAATGTTTTTTTTTTTAATATACCATACAACTGGAGCACTGTTCAAGAGCAATAAAGCTAATACTCTTAGTTACCGAAGACCTTAGTCTATCCAACTTTTATTATTGTTCAAACGTTTATTTTACCAGGACGTTATTAACACAAGACAAATACAACAAACATTAATATAATATTTTTGATAAATGTAAAATGCAGCTGCTTTCATTATTGGACATGTTCAAAATTAGCGTTTAACAATTACTTTCAGTTTTTAACCGAGTAACTCCGTCAGTAGTGTAAATTATGTTATACTCCATTACTGAAAATCAAGGTTCCTATTAACATAATGTACTTTCATTTCTTTCATTAAACGTGAAATTAGTTTTTGATAATTTCCATGTAACTTAAATACTTGTAAAGCATTTTAAAGTTTGACTTGGTCATTAAAAGACTTAAATACGTCTAACAAATGCGTAGCTTATCAAACTGGGGGTAATTAAAACGTGTTGCTAAGCGCATGGCAGCGATAGCTACACTTAAAGCACAAGAATAGTGGCTCCCAAGGTAGTAACATTTTGCTATTATTCTTATTGTAATTCATTACTAACTCTTAATTTGATATCTGTGCTTCTTCACGGTTACTCATTTAGAGTTAGTGCATTATCACGTATCTTAACCTTCTTGCCTCTTCATAGTTTGTCCAGCATATTGCTTGGAAATTCGATCATTTTGCGATTGTAACGTTTAATCATGGAAATTATGAGTATTTCTAATATGCAAGTTAAAGGAAACTTGCAGGGAGTAAATCGAAGTTCTAAAAAATGGCTGGACTTGTTCTCGATACTGCACTGGACGGCACTATTCCTCAATATCTTCCTATTTTCAGGTAAGTACTTTTACAGTAATTTTAATTAACTCTCAAGTTACCTGCGTTATTGTAGCTGATGCAAATCTTAGAGATTTTCATGCTAATAAATTTAACTGTTATTGTGTAAGAATAAATTTGAACAGCTTATGATGTGCCTAAGTTTCTTTAGTGTCTGTGTGTAGAACTGAAGCGCTTTTTTTTTTTTTTTTAATAATTGTAACTAAGCGACATTTAAAAAAAGACTTTGCTCTAACGTTTTTATTAAAAAAAAATGGAATGTATCTAATATTCTGTTCTCCT